AGCCCCTACCTCTTCCCACTGGGTGCTATACCAGGTGATAATACATACGGGTTAGTTATCCTGAGGGGGCTTATCCTCAGTGTTTGTATTTAAAAGTTCCTCTCATTGTCATGTCGAGGCCCTCTTACGAGATCATCTTATAGTTCCATGGGAGTATCCCCTCTCACGAATTCTCCCATACAGATCCTCTGCCTCCTGTTTATAATCATCACCACTGGTACAGTTCCTGCAGATACATAGGAAATGTCCAGTGGGGATCCCCCGTATCAAGGACTGTGGGTGATGGCTGGAAGCCAAAAGCAGAGTATTAGCAGCTGTAGATTTGCAGTATGTTTTAGTTCTCAAACTCTTACCCTCAATGGAAATCAAAAGATCAAAAAATTAGATCTTTCTGTAATCAAAAGTGTATGTTAATCTGATGTTCCCATTGTTAGCATTGAGGTCAGCCATGAAATCATGAAGTTCCTGCTCAGGGCCTTCTCAGAGCATAAGAACATCATCGATGTGCCTCAGCCATAAGGAAGCATGGCTGAGGTACATCGAGGAGCAATATACAACCTCCTCCTCTCACCATCTGAGATGGAGACAGGCATATGCGGGTGTCCATCTCGCCCCCATCGACGTACCTCGGAACTGGCGGTAATAAGTCTCCAAGAATTGAACATAATTGTTATTGAGAGCAAAATCCAACAATTCCAAAAGGAATTCATTCTGTGCTCCCATGTTTGAATAACTTACTTCCAAAAATTGGGCTACCGCACTGAGCCCCCAATGGTGGGGGATGGAGGTATAGAGGAACTCCACATCTATACCCAACAATATCGTCCCTGTCTGAATCTCTGCCTGAACGATCTTGGCTAAGACATCTCTAGTATCCTGGACATATGATGGGAGTCCCATCACCATCTCTTTGATTAAAGCATCCAGGTACTTCCCGGTGCATTCAAGGGGACCCCGTAAAGCTGATATAATGGGCCTTCCTGGTGGATTTTCCAAACTTTTGTGTACCTTGGGGATAATATATATGATGGGAATATTATAATCATCCACACGTAAATAACCCCATTCTTTTTTGGTGATGAGACCCTCCTCACAGGCCAAACATAATTTTTGATTGAGAGACAAAACCAGTGAGAGAAATGGGTTCCCTCCTGACCACATTCCAGGACCACATCCCTTCCCTTGTCACTTGGTTTAATCACTAGGTTGGGTGCTTCCCTGAGTTCTCTTAGTGCCTGCCTCTCATCTTTCGAGAGTTTGTCCGTACCAGTCAATCTCCAGTCAATTTGGGATAGGTCATGTTGGACCAAATACAGAAAAATCACCCAACCAGCGATTTTTACAAATCTGGGGCATCTTGTTAGACTTAATCATTAGACAGGCCTGTCTTTTCCATAAATCACTAGGATCAACGTCTTTGTCTAGTTCAAAAGAATCATCTTCCATAAGTGAGAAGATTTTGAATAGCTTCCTGTTCCTCATCCTTAAAACTAAATTCATTGCTCTCTAGATAATTATCCCTCACCTGCTTTTGTGAGTGTACCAATCTTAAATACACCTTTCTAAGGAAAAGATGAACATCCTTATAAGCTTAAAAGTGATTCATTGCATTTGTAGGTGAAAAAGACAGGCCCTTACAGAGTAGCTTAAGATGTCACTCCTCTTGTTGAACGGTGAAAGATTAATAACCTTCATATCTAGCATTTCCCTATGTGGCCTATGTGGTAGATCAACATTATCATCACAATTATTCATTTCAGTTTATGACTCCTGGTAGTTGTTTTCAATGTTTCTGCCAGGGGTTCATTCAGTCTGCTTCTTTCTCCTCCTCCGCTGCTGTTTCTACCGGCACCTCTCCCCCTCTCTGCTGTCTTGAGGATACCCCGTCCTGAGGCCCCACTTTCTATTACTGTTAAAGTGTATTCTAAAAAAAAATGACTGTTCTGGGTTCTTCCTACTGATTTTCAGAAGATATAGGCCTATTCCTCGATGGTGTATGAGAGCGGTAGCGGCTTTGCCGAGATCCGCTCTGTCCACATTGATTGGAGAGATCAAATATCTCCCCACTGGCCCAGTCATCTAAATCCCTTTTGAATCTTGTTTGTTTTGTACTGCGCAATTTTTTTTGGACCTTTTCTATATTTTAAGGAGGTAATTCAATCTCATAAAGTCAGAATTCTCCTTATAGGGCTCAAGTGATCTAACATTCTCTTCAATTTGGGTTTTTAAGTTTCAGTTAATTGGATCTTTTCCTCCTCTACAATTAACAACATAACAGCCAACCTGTGATCAATATTTGTTGTTTCCATTTATCTAAGAATCTCTGAGTAAGTAAATGTTCGGCAGGAATAACTCTCTCCCTAAGTCCTTGGGATAATGCCGTTAGTTCTATACAATTCCAAAGATAGGATATCCCATCTCCGGTTTAATTATTTGATGGTTAATTTTTTATGTTGTTTAAAAAGACCCTTAAAGGTATCCCCTTCTGATATTGCAGAATCACGAGATTCCCGAGAGAAAGCTGATCTGATCCCCTCTTCAATATCCCCTCATCTGACAAATGCCATCCGAACTAGGGTTCACTGGCATAGAATCTGAAACACTTTCTAGTGAAGGGTGGAGGGAATAACACTTTGTAATTCTACGATTTAAATAAATGATTTAAACATTTAAGCAAGGCTCTACCACAATTATGATCCCATAGATTGTATGCACTGATATGTGATCTTCCTGTGTTTACTCAGGGGCAAGTGTATTTTTGCATTTTTACCTATTTTCAGTTTTGCTGCACAAGATATTGCCCACAGTTTATATCCAAGAGGCCTGGAGCCTTCAGCCCCATCCCCATGTTATGCATATTCCAGTATGAGTGTTAGGCATGTCTGAGTGCCCAGGCGGGTGTTTTCATGATATGGAAATGTTGTCATTGTGTTTTATCTTTGTGTAGGGTGGAGGGGTTTTTTGCCAATTTGATATCATGATAGTGTTCAATAAACATTATTCTAAGCCACAGATTGTTCTGTTTGGGACTTATTTCCTTGTGGGTCCTCCACCCACAAGTTGGTGGATGTAGGACTTCATTGCTAAAGTTTCCAGGATTGATAATGGATAGAATCTCCCTGTAGGAGGGACAGTACTGGGCAGGAAATTAAAAGGGAAATTCTGTGAGGAAGTAGAACTGAAGCAGATTCCTCTGAAAAAACATCCATGAAATCCTGAAAAAATGAGGGAGGGGCATGCAGGTTAATGGTTGCAGTGAGAGCAGGGTGGCTAAGGCAGGAATTAAGAAAGAATCAGACCAAGCAACAAATTAAGCTGAAGACAAATCAATCCGTGGGTTATGATGTTACAACCAATGGGTTGCCCCAAGATATATTACATAATTCTAAATTTTCTGGCCAAGCAGCACAAGAGGCAGAACAAACGCAGGACAAAAGTACCTTTTAGTCTTCATGGGACTGAGATTGAGCTCTACAGTCACTTTTGCAGCAGTTGTTTTCTCAATCTGGGTCACAATCCTGCGCAATGTCCTTTTGTCTCTTTGACCATGTTGACCAGTGTAAGGGTGTGAGGCATGGATTAATACTGGTCTGTAATGTTAAACTGCAATATGCTCTTTGGTCAGTAGATGGCAGCAAAGTACAAGAATCGATTTTGTAGTGACTTTTGCTAAGACAAGATAAATGCTTATTTACCCTATAAAGTTTAATGAATACTAATTTAGGGGCCGAGTAGGACCCTCAGAAGGGTCATAGTGAACTGTAAATGCAGTTTTGAGGCTGCAATTAAGAAATGACTTACTGCATCACAAACTCTATGGGAAGGGGAGGAGTTCCTGTGCTGAGAAGGAAGTGAAGTCTGGGTCTGGCTGTTGGATGCTGAGGACGTCTGGAGAATCTGTGTGGGGCCTGGAAGAGGATTTACGGCTCACAGTGGAATCTGGCGATTGCACCTAAGGAAGATTCACCACGAGACCAGGAAACAAGTGACTGTATGGTCCGGTTCGGGAGTGGATCAGGGAAAAGTACCAAGAGCCTGCCAGGGAACTGTAAGTGCGGCTTTGCCGCAGCACATCGCACCACACGTGTTCAGTGACATTTTGGATATACCAGAAAGTTACAAGAGACACACTCCACTCAGGAACATTCAGGCGCAGCCAGGCTGCTTTCTGGACATTGGGAAAAGTCCGCAACTACGGGGTTAGTGTTAGACAGTATTATTCTTACTGTATGGTTATGCGCTGTTATCATTCTGTTTACATATGCTCAACTACAAGATCACTATAACTGTTCAGTAAACGTAATTGTTTTAAAAGAACCGCTGTCTGTGTCTGTGTGGCATCGTGTACCCTCTGAATCTGTGGGCCCAGCCCTCGGTCTTCCTTCACCAGGCTCATGGTTATCCGATGACTTTTTCCAAGAAACTGTGTATGCAGTCATAACCTTTCATTCTGTACCTCGTTACATGGCAAAAAAATTGGCAACTTCAGTCACAGAGGCACCTGCTAAGCAGACACCAACAATTTGCCCCCTTTGAATCTCAGGTAAGCTCTGAAATGACTCTGTATTACTAGCAGTGCAGACAGTGAATGATGAAAGTGAGGCTTCCTACTTGTTAGCTAGGTGTCTCATCACACAGCGGAATCCAAAGAATGTTACATCACTTTCGCTTTTAACATGTCTTTACTTTCACACCTGAAAATCATGTAGTATTTCCATTTTTTTGTCTATATCTTTCAATTGTCTATTTACCTGGAATTCAGGTTTAAAGGTAAAAGATATACTGTAATATAAGCAATATATACTTGCTTTACAAAGAAAATCAGAGACAGGTATAGCCATCAGTAAACAAATTACTGAAGAAGTTATCACAAACTGTATTTGTAGTTGCACCTTCCAAGAATCAGCAATTTGGAAAGTAGGTTGAGGAACAACACTTCAGATAGATATAAAACAATGTTTTGCCACTTGGCAAGTCCAATAATAATGTGGCATTGTTACCTGAAAATAAGTTTATGGGAATCTATGTTTTTCCCATGGCGTGATCCCTTAAGGTTCCCAGAATTCCCCACAACAGCACAGGTTCGACACGGCCTGTTATACACTTCTTCATATGGGTTCCCATTGGGTATAACCTTGAACATCTGATCAAGTATCCCTGGAATGTCACTTGCATTGTTTTTTCCTTGGAGACTCTGCATAACATAAAATATAATGAAAACTAAAAAGAAGGCATTTGATCCCAAATAACATTGCACAATGAACAAAGGCTCACGAGGAGACTGAATCTGCATTGCACACACACTCAATTAGCAAATCACTTCCTATGTGTCTATGGCTCAGTTTCTTGAGTCACACTAGTTTTAGTTCTGCAAATTAATTCCTCATTACTCGATTTACTCTATGCTTAACAGCGATATGACTTGAGAAATCCAATTTCTCATCTGTGAGAAGAAAGTGCTTGCAAAACATTAATGTTTTTTGATTAACCACAAAATATCTTTATTCTGGACTCAGACTTCACTAATACTGTAAGTGCCTATTTACACTGATGTGTTATGGTCACATGCTATTTGAGTGCTTTACCACTCTGCATTGCAATGTGGTGCCATTAATCCGAATGTCATTGCAACACAACACTACAGTAGTGGGCAACACAACCACACTGCAGCTTGCCAGGCAGGTTGTCTTGGGAGTTTCTTTCTTGTTCAAAGGTTTTTATTGAGAAACCAGCAATTTCTATAGCAATGAAGGCCTAAGGCTGCAGTACATAAGCAAAGCAAATCCAAAATACCATTTTGGTGTCAAGGGTAACAACAGGCAGCCTGAAGAGCATGGTGTTTCATTGCTTAACAAGAGAAGAAAATAAACAGCAAATATTGGAGCACTGGTTTCCACATATGCCAACAACATAACATAGAAACAATTATGGGGGATTAGAAAGAAGAGGGGAAAGGGGATCCCAGTTGGTGAAGCCTAGATAATCCAAGAAGCAAATAAAATCTAAATCAGGTTATCAGGGTTCCAAGAGGGATGAGTCAAAGCTTGGTGGAAGGAAGTGATCAATCAATGGCTGCCATAAAGCAGTATAAGCGGGGACCTTATCTTGCAATGTGTTCTTGGGGGTTCTGGTTGAGAAGTGCAATGTCTGGGTCTGGGTGAAGGGGTTTATAAAACAAAGTCAGTCAATACATTAGATTTTTTTCTATTTTACTCACCAACCACCATTTTAGAACATGACCCGCAATCACTTGATCCTTTGTTGCTAGTAAAGGTTGTACAGATGCATTGAATCGTTTTGCGAACCATGGCGTCTTTAGCTTACTTGGCTTACAAAGTCCACACATACACACACGATTATCAAACACTTCCACAACCTCCACTGGATTGGAGTAGTCTGGACAGAAGAAAATAATGTAGATCACAAAGGCCACAGCACATAATAGTGGTGGGATCCATACTGTCCTTTTGTGATGGCTTAATCGGAAATGACAACGGACACAGTGCATCATATCACAGCCTCTCAGTTTTCCAGATCCAGAAAATAAAACCAGTTCTCTTTACCCTCAAGTTTATTCAGCATATTGTATTGCAAGGTAATATCCTCTTTTTTTCAGTAGGCATGAAGATGGACCAAGATGAGATCTAGGATTCACATTACATCCTATGCTGGAAGTCACTTAGGCCAGATTCCAACATTTTTTAAAATGCTGCTGGAGGTAAATATTTCCCCCATGAGGTTGAGGAGAATATGCAGAGGTATGTGCAACCGATAATTCACCATCTCATTATTCTGTCAACAGACAATTTCAGATATCCCTCAAGCAGTATGAAACCAATTGTAGGCAAGATTTACAACAGAAGGAAACAACATATGCGTTTTATGTTTCTTGCCAAAACTCCAGGTGATTACACTTGATCTTGCACCATGACTCCCAGTAGTAGTAGCAACGCAGGATTTTAGAACATTCTACATGTGTCAATGTTTTTCTTCCTTGAATAACCTAAAAGATAAAAAGAAATGTGTTATTATACCTTAGAACAAGACCCAGAGCACATGTGCAGTGTCATTGTGTGGCATCAACATGTTTATGCTAATGTAAGTAACTGAGACCTCTACTTTTATTATGCAAATATATATATATATATATATATATATATATATATATATATATATATATACACACACACACACACACATGAGAAACAGAAGTATTTGAACACCCTGTGATTTTGCAAGTTCTCCCACTTAGAAATCATGGAGGGGTCTGAAATTCACATTGTAGGTGCATTCCCACTCTGAGAGGTAGAATTAAAAAAAAATTCAGGAAATCACATTGTATGATTTTTAAAGAATTTATTTGTCTTGCACTGCTGAACATAAGTATTTGAACACCTAAGAAACAGCAAGAATTCTGGCTCTCAAAGACCTGTTACTGTGCCTTTAAAAAGTCCACCTCTACTCCACTCATTAATCTAACTTAGTAGCACCTGTTCGAGCTCTTTAAAGACACCTGTCCACCCCACAGTCAGTCAGAAGCCAACTACTACCATGGGCAAGACCAAAGAGGTGTCAAAAGACACCAGAGACAAAATTGTGGACCTCCACAAGGTTGGAAAGGGCTACGGCGCAATTGCCAAGCAGCTCGGTGAAAATAGATCAACTGTTGGAGCAATTGTTAGAAAATGGAAGAGGCTAAAGACGACTGTCAGTCTCCCTCGGACTGGGGCTCCATGCAAGATCTCACCTCGTGGGGTATCACTGATGATAAGAAAGGTGAGGAATCAACCCAGAACTACAAGGGAGGAGCTGGTCAATGACATGAAGAGAGCTGGGACCACAGTTTCAAAGGTCACTGTCGGTAGAACACTACACCGTCAAGATTTAAAATCATGCATTGCACCACAATGGATTTGAAATGAAACAAACAAGATGTGCTTTAACTGCAGACTGTCAGCTTTAATTTGAGGGTATTTACATCCAAATCAGGTGAACGGTGTAGGAATTACAACAGTTTGCATATGTGCCTCCCACTTGTTAAGGGACCAAACGTAATGGGACAATTGGCTTGTCAGCTGTTCCATGGCTAGGTGTGTGTTATTCCCTCATTATCCTAATTACAATGAGCAGATTAAAGGTGTGTTATTTGCATTTGGAATATGTTGCTGTCAACTCTCAAGATGAGATCCAAAGAGCTGTCACTATCAGTGAAGCAAGCCATCATTAGGCTGAAAAAACAAAACAAACCCATTAGAGAGATAGCAAAAACATTAGACATGGCCTACACGTGTATTGCCTGCCCTTGTGGGAAGCCCCCTCCTAAGACCTGATGGCCTACATGTTGCATGGCCAACAAACTGTGAGAAGGGACATTAATATTTTAAAGCGCACTGTTGGCAACAGTGCAGATTGAAATCTTAAGGCCCCCTTCACACTGTCGTTCCATTGCAGTGTGCTACTGCATAAATGTTAATGTGTGTTGCATTAAGGCAACCATTTTATCAAGAATGGGCTAGCAATGCATGACAACAGAAAGAAAAAACAGACCTGCACCATTTCTTTAACACAGCGCACTGCAGCGCAAGGCATGTGTATGTGCAGTTCAATTTAGAATTTAGGTTTTCCACTAAGATTATTACACTTTGCACATTTGGAAGTGACACCATCTCAACTTGGCCAGTCAAAAGGGGAAAAAGATCAAAACCCGGAAGTAGACCAGCTGAAGATGCCAGTAGCTGGCAGGAAGCTCCTGGACAATGGAGTGGTGGTCAGTATTAAGGTAAAGGCTTTAAGGTAAGTACTTTCAGTAAATCTTACAATAATTAAAAATGTGAACTTACTGAAAATACACCAATATTTCCTTTCAAATGAGATTCCCTTTGCTAGCTCGCAGATTTGATTTATGAAATGTGTTTTCTCTGTGCTCATACAGTATAATTTAGAGACCTGTAATCATGCAAAACCATGTGCTGCTGCCCGAGTTCAGTTGACAGTAGATATCAAGGCTTGGTTTGTTCAAAACCTGAAAACAGAAGACATTTTGGTAGTTTCTTCTGTTATAGATTACAGATCTAGGCACAGGGCCACAAAGAAAACAGTAAGTCCAACATTCTAAAAGAGCAACAGGGCAAATCATTCAGCTCATTCAGGACAAGCTTTCAACTTTAGTTGTTTGTTTATTCGAGAAGGATTAAATTAGGGATGAGTGAGCTGTAATTTTATTTCTGTGAATATGTCTGTGAAATGTCAGTAAAAATCGTGAGATTTTCGTGAAATTTCACCATTTTGGTGTAAAGTAGACGTGGTGCTTTTTGTTTCAAATTGTAATTCAGACGAAATTTTCATTATTTGGAAATTCGGATGGATCTGAATTTCTAAATACAACAGTAATGCATTTCAACGAATCCGAATTAAACCTTAACCAATATCATTTGTTTCATTTGGACGTTAGAATCATTCCTATGATTCAAATTTATTTGATAATAGCTGGTTGCTAAGGAACAGGGTGGCCTTCCAGCCGCAGCATCCTTAACAACCATGACTCAGGCTGTCAGCAGAATGCAAACAAACAATACTGACATTAACAATTTAAAAAAAAACAGCATAGGCCCCCCGACAATCCCAACCAGACCCAGTCTGGTTTGAATTTTAAGCGGAACCCCACGCCAAAATTAAAAAGAAAAAGGCGTAGGGTTCCCCCCCAAAATCTATACCAGCTGCCATGGATTTTAAAACTGAAATCAGCCTGGTCCTAGTAAGAGATTTTCTTGCTCACGACTGACTTGCTCCTGTCCAGTTAACACACTAAAGAAAAAATATATTTTCAATGACTACATATCTTGATTTTTTACTGTAATGTTTACTTTAACACCTTATCAGCTAGTTGTACTTGGTGGAGCTCACAGCAGCTTCAGTAATGCAGCACTGTACTCAGGAAACAGCAAAGGAATTTTTTTTTTTTTATAAAAGTGGAAAATCTCCACCCCCTCTAATGTTGGACTTTAAACAGCTGCTGCTCAGCCTATCAGTTCCAAAGTCAACCCTTTTTTTTAAATGATATCTAAACCCAACAAAATTATAATATGTTGCCACTTACCTGTCCTTAGATATGGTGGCTGCATTTGTTTTCCTTTTTTAGTCTTTTTTCACTTTATTATTTATTTTTCACTTCCAGGAACACACTTCGTGCCCTAGGTGACAATGCTCATTCACTGCACTGTATCTATGGAGGAGCAGCCTTGTCAGCACAGGACAGGACTGCAAACAGACCCCTTCCTCCATAACATAAGGGATTCTATAGTCTTCAGAGATAGCTGGCCACAATGTACTGTAACTGATAAGAGCCCAGCACAGGAAATAAACCGTGCTGTGTAAGGCAGGCCATAGACGGGCTGTTTATTGGCCAAATTTTTGTCCGATAAACGAAAAATCAGTCAGCCCTGTTGCCGATGCTGCCACCCGTGTCCACGAAAAATGGCTGTTTTTTGCGGATTTTCCAGCATTGACCGATAAAACTAAACGAGAAGATCCGAGAAAAACGGCCGACGGGCTGGCCCCACTAACGGCGTGAATATCGGTCGATTTTTCGTGCGGACGAAACTTCGGCCGATAAACGACCCGTCTATGGCCTGCATTATGCCCTATAAAGTGTTTGCTCTTTGCTCGGTTTCACTCCTAAGTGATATTTTACAAGCTGAGCAAGAAACACCCCCGTCTCCTATAAATATAAACATGCTGGGAAACAAAAGTATAGCCTGGATCCACTTGTGTCAATTAGCAATTCCAGAACAAAAACAGCGTTAGTCATACGCTATTTCTACCCGTATTACTGTGTTTATTTTCTTACAAGGATTCAGGCGGAACATATGAAAGTTAACACAAGCCATCTGAATTATATAAACATTGTGTGGGTAGGTGTCATGTTCCTTGCTTGGCCAAAGTACATTAGATCTAACGCACAGACAGCCATGAAATGGTGCCCCTAGTAGTCATAATATTTTAAAAGGCCAGTCTATCCATAGCTGGTACTTCAATTATGGATGGACTCCGGTGGGCTGAATCAAAATCTGGCCCTTAGTATTTCTGCAGGACTTTGTTGACATGCTAACCCTTTGGAATTTACACCTCTGGTTTACCACCAATGTTCTCACTTCCGTTGTTTACTAAAATGAACAATAAACTAAAATTCCAGCAAAGCAAGTGAGACTGCTCTATGATGTTTATGGTAAATGGAAATACAGACCAAATCTGGTGCATAGTATCATTTATCAGAGCCACACCACAATAAAATATCAGTGCAAAACACTGAATGCAAAACACACTTGGAGCAGTCTAGAAGCAACCTAAAGCTTCTGCAAGCTAGTCACATACATGATTGCACCGTAAAAAAAGCACAAACTGGACTAAACATTAATTTAAAAAAAAAAAAAGTACCCTCAGGTTCTTTAAAAGCAATAAAAAAAAAAGCAACATTCACTTTCTCCAGCAGTGCCTCTGCTTGGCCACAAAATT